CCGGAAAAGATCAGAAAAGGAGCAAAACATAACATATATATGGAACATGCATTACAATATTACAATTAAGAAATATTTAATTATTGTTCACCATGACTTGAAAGGTAATAGCGGAATTTCATTTAATGATGAAGAAGTACCACAATCCAAACCTGGCCCTGTTCCTGTTGAGCTTGAAACAATATCCCAAGGCTCAATTGATTCAGTTCGAACATATTCAACCTCTTCATAATTTTGTCCACCATTAGAAGTTTTTTCTGACATTTGAATCCCCTCCAGCTCTGCCGTGACCTCTCTCATTGTAGGGCGCTTTTTTCCACTCAAATTCAAACACCCCCTTGCAAGGTTAGCAACTACTATGATATCTGCTTTAGACCCTCCTTTCACAACTTGAGCATCAAGAATTTCAAACAGGTGACCTAACTGCATCGAAGTAATGAAGTACGTGGCAAGACTTTTGCCCTCTTCTTGTGACTTGTTAAAAGAAATTGGTTTTTGTCCAGTCAGAAGCTCAACAAGGACCACTCCAAAGCTATACACATCACTTTTATTCGTAAATTGGCTTGATTGGAAGTATTCTGGATCCAAGTAACCAAATGTGCCATGTACAAGTGTGGTCAGGTGAGTTTGATCGATGGCAACTGATCTTGAAGTTCCAAAATCAGCAACTTTTGCTCTGTATTTTGCATCTAAGAGTATGTTGGTAGACTTGATGTCTCTGTGATAAATGGGAAAGGCAGCTGAAACATGTAAATAAGAAAGAGCTCCTGCAATTTCCCCGGCAATTCGTAAGCGAACTTCCCATGTAAGTGGAAACTCCTCATTCTGCTCATGGATATACTGGGAAAGGTTTCCATTAGGTATAAATTCATAAACCAAAATGGGAACCTCCGTCTCTAAACAGCAACCCAATAGTTGAACGACATTTCTGTGGTTGATTTGTGAAAGAATCACAACCTCATTAATGAAATCTGAAAATTGGCTTTCGTCCACTCTTTTAGATTTTTTCACAGCAACAATTCTTCCATCAGTCAGCATGCCTTTGTAAACTGTACCTTGGCCTCCCTGGCCAAGAATTCTATCAATATTGAAATTGTCGGTGGACTTCTCCAACTCCTTTGATTTGAATAGCTTGATTTTCTCAACATTAACTTCACCTGACGAAATTTTTTTTTCTAATTTTAGCTTGAAAAACATCTCCCTGCGTTTTATGGTATGGCGTTTCTTTAGGAATCTGTATCCCAACCATGCACCACCAGTAAGCAATAATAACAGTCCAAGACCCGCACCAAGACCTGCATGTGTAACTCAGTAAAATGATAAATGATCACAAATTGCAAACCAAGTTTATGTCCTGTGCCCATAAAATAAAATAAAATAAACAGTATGTATGCAAAAGAGTTTATGTCCAAAATTCCCACTTAGGCAGAGGGTGGTGCCTTGGTCTCTATTTTCTTAGTCAAGATATGAACTTTGGGCAGGGTGACTTATAAAGTTATAATATTTATTTGGGTTGTGGATTGTCCGTCTTGGATGTCCGATTTACTTATTTCCATTCCATCCCTCTTAATTTCTTGATTTGTTCGTAATTACCAAAGTTTAATAAATACATAACTGCAAAGAACTCTTTTTGTTTTTATTTTTTTATTAAAGGCCAAAGAATTTATTCATGAAATATACACACACAAAAATTATTTAGAAAAAGCGGCAGTATTTTATTGATTTCGAGGAAATAACAAGTAGGAAAAAAAAAATTGTACGTAATAGGGAAGTTAAAATAAAGAGATATTTAGTCAAATACCCATTCTTAGCACTAAAACTATAAATAAACCCTACACCATTTAATTTCTATAAACAAACCCAAAAAATGACAATTGGCCATATTGAATTTAATTTTGATTATTAAATTACTTTGATGCCCTATTGAGTTTTTTGGGCTTTTTTTTTATATGTTTTGAGGTTGGGTTTGTTTTAATAAATCAATGGTAGTTTTGTAATTGAAAAGAAGTTAAAAACCTTTTTGTTATGTTGTAAATGGGCTTTGGGTGTGTTTATAAAATCCATTTCATATAGGGTATTTTTATAATTTGGGCTTCTATATTGGGTATAATAGTGAATCTCCCTAAAATAAATTTGTCCGTTCAACAATTACAAGAATATCCACCAATTGGGCTAATCCCAAAACCCCAAGGACTTGAACATATTATTCTTATCAAATAAGTGCAAGCCTTTGAGTTTAGGTTGTTACCGGTTGGTGACCATATGTTTGGCCTCTTATATTATATAACACTCAGTTATTTTTATTTTTATTTTTAATGAGAAATCAACTCTGTTTACTTCCAAAATCGTATAATACGTACGATGATATATGGCGTAACTATAATAACGATCAATTTAGTATCCTTTTTTTCATGGCAAAGATAAGAACCAGGAATGTTCACACAGGAAGTATTGCTAATATCAAAAGTTTGTAGACTACTTTGTGACAGAGTTGCCTTAACTACTTCATTGTGCTCTGTTTTGACTTTGAAAATGTCCTTTTGACATGTTGAACTAGACTCGATAAGGGTCGTTTAAGAACGGATTTCTTGTCAACTGGTGTTGTATATAACTTGGTTGATTGTATAAACTCGATTCATGTGCGACTACAAAAAATTAAAGTGTGTATATTTTATCGCCGATTTCAGTTCTAAGGTTCCATTGTCATCTTTCATATATGAAGTAATTGACTGAAACATACCTATAAGAATCAGTTTGATCTTTGTCTTTCCACCCACTCTGTGTCTGTAGCATGTATACGTCCCATAATAGTTCATACAATGGGGGGTTCCATTGTCATCTTTCATATATGAAATAATTGCAAGACTGAAACATACCTATAAGAATCAGTTTGATCTTTGTCTTTCCACCGTCTATGTGTCTATAGCATGTATACGTCCCATTATAGTTCATACAATGGGGGGCCAAAGGCCCACATATGTTTTTATCTGTGCATTCATCAATGTCTGTAATGTAGAGACAAGAAAGCAAATGAAAATCATGGTGAAAGATTATCACGAAATACAAACCAACAAAGCTGACTAAAATGCGATAATTTGGTGCATGGTAAACAAAAGTGTGGAACAGATGACAAATTGTTAATTAATTTGTGCATGTGTTTGACATTTTTTGAGAGATTTTAGAGGTTTGTTTACCGTGACAAGGGTTTCGAAGATAGGGATTTCCCTCGAAGCCTGGCGGGCAGTAACATACAAGCCTTTGCCGAGTGTAAGTGGAAGTGGCATTTAGTATTTTGCAGTAGGGTTTAGGGTCATCATAAGCCCTGGAATCATTGGACATGAATCTGTGAAATACTGCGACTGAAGTATTGTCCACGCCTAAGCTCCAAACTAGCACCACTGGAACGCTGTCATTATTGTGACTAAAATCGGATGCCGTAAAATTGTTCCTAAACCACACTTGGTCAACCAAGAATGCATAATTGTTGCATGTATCTTCCCTTCCTCTCCTATCATCATCTTCAATATCCGTACTGATAACACTGAGATGTGGTGGGATGTTAATCTGGCAACAGTTAACACCAATTTCACAATCTTCAGGGCTTACGCTAGTCCCTTCACAAATTGACCTGCATCCTCCAACAAGATACTTTTCTGAGCTCACCGAGGCAAGGTAGCCACAACTCACTGCTGTGAATTTGTTGTGTCTCCCAGAGTATACAAAAGGGCTTCCACTCAAATTCACAGGTTGCTGACCTCTGTATCCGTCACAGAAGAAAGCAATGGGGTTTTTAACTCGAAGCGTGCCATTAGCATAAACGTTCAGCACTTCCAACTGGGCGCGCCTCAAGTAAAGCGAACTAGAAGACTGGTTGCACACCATTTCGAACCATTCGTCAAAGTAACAATCTTTATTAGGTCCAATGCCGAAAGGGTATGGGATGCTAATATCTCCGCAATGTGTTGGGCAATTACGCTTTGCCATTGGTGTTTCATGTTGCATTCCTAAAATGACACAAATTAATGTGCAAACAACCAATTAAAAATACCCGCAAGTGCACGAATCTAATGAAGTATAGATTATGTAAGTACGGGGTCGATCCCACGAAGAACTTGTCGGCTTCCTATAAGTTCTAATTTGAGTACGTAAAGAACACTTACTTGACAAACCACAAATGCACAAATGCAAAATGGAAACAAAAAATAAGTAAAGAAGTGTAAAAGAAATGAAACAACACAAGAAAACTAAAGAAAAACACAAACAGCATTTTCTATCACCATTTTATCACC